GGTTTGTTTTTATAATGAGAAGAGAATACATAACAGGCAGGAATATAACAATGGGGTAGAACAGAAAATAAAGATAATGGTTAAGATGGACAGATAGCAGAGTTTGATGTTAGAGCGTGGCAGGGTTGCTAAGCCCTAGCCTAAGGCCTTCTCATGGCACTCTGCCTGGAAGGGCTCATGGGACGCAGGATGCAGAGGCTCTGTTGGAGGGGAGCTCCCTCTGCCTTTGGGTCAGAAACTGCATCGCTGACAGTTTCCCATAGTTTCTTCTTCCCCTAAATGGAGGTCCAATGGGGACTCCTGACTCGAGGAGTGGAGATGCTCATCTATGCCTTACCTCTGTTTCTCTCGTCCTGCCCGGCCACTGGGGTAGTAAAGAACCAGGCACGCTGGGTGCAACAATTCATCAGAGACATGGAAAACCTGTTCCAGGTCACTGGCGACCCACACTTCAACATCATTATCACTGACTATAGCAGTGAGGACATGGATGTCGAGATGGCGCTGAAGAGATCCAAGCTGAGGAGGTGAGGAGGACCCCTGGCCAGGGTGTAGCACAGGCTACCTCCTTCCTAAAGTCCTAGGACTGTGGGGTCCAGGACACAGCCAGAAGTGCCGCTCAGCTGTCCCAGCTCCCAATCTCCAGCTTTTTCTAGAGGACTCACCTACCCATAACTCGATCCCAGGAGCACATGTCATCTCTATTCTATGCCTGCCAACTTCCTCCAGGGGCCTACACAGCTGAGTCCTAATACCAGCCCCTTTCTTCTCTTCCTGCAGCTTCCAGTACATGAAGCTAAATGGAAACTTTGAACGCTCAGCTGGCCTTCAGGCTGGCATAGACCTGGTAAAGGTAAGTGACCCAGAAGGGGCTTAGGAAATGTGATTCGAGACTAGGTAAGAGGCAGAGAGACATTTGGGATGTGTAAGGTTATGGCACCCTTGGGGATGAAGAGGGTGAGGACACAGAGAGTCCTATGCTGGACTGCAGGGCCAGTGCCATGGTAGGACTGGCAAATGGCAATGGAGCATCTGCCCAATTGTCCAGAGTCCTTGGAACCCCTGAAAAGAGGGAGGGGATCACAGTTCACTCTCTGATAGTAAGAACGTTGCTCTAATTCCCACTGGGGCAGTCTGCCTGGCAGGTGGTTCTGTGGGAGTACAGGAGTCATTCCAATAGGGAAGAGCCTGAAGATTGTCCTGGCCACCCAGCCCTGGTCTGTAGGAGCTGCTAACCCTGCCCATGTCTGTCACCAGGATCCACACAGCATCATTTTCCTCTGTGACCTCCACATCCACTTTCCAGCAGGAGTCGTTGACACCATACGGAAGCATTGTGTGGAGGGCAAGATGGCCTTCGCCCCCATGGTGATGAGGCTGCATTGTGGGGCCACCCCCCAATGGCCTGAGGGTGAGCCCTGCTCTTCTGTGGC